TTCAGAATAACAGCATCAAATCACATGCCGCTTTCGAACTTAACGTGCATCCCTCGAAGTTAACTTCGGGGAATAAATAAAACAATGGTGTTTAATCATAGCGTAGTTTTGTCTTTTAGCTATAATTTGTTTTTAATTTAAAATAAAAATATGTCTTTTGGTGGTCGTATAAGGTTAGCTTTATTAGAACAATTGGAAAATGGTCTTGAAAATAAACTTTACTTTCCTCCACAAACTCTACTAAATTTTCAAATTGTTTCCGAGTTGTTTTTGTGCCTCTTCTGAATGCTCCATTGAAAGTGTTTCAGATGATAGGTCAAGAACAATAACGAACGAAATTGAAAGTGAATGCAAATCATAAACAAAGACAAGTATGGAAGTAGGTGGCCCAAATGGCCAACACGTGCACATGTGGCGATAGTGCATATGTTTTAGAACCTTCGATGGTTTGATGTTAACTCTCTCTCTCTCACTAATAGACTATTCGTATAAGGGCATCTTACTTTATGCATCCAATATTTTTTTCCTTTTTAACGTTTGATGGATAACTGAGTCGGAAACGCATACGTTAACTCGGGGATAGAGCACACCTCGGTTATCCTAAACTGTTAAGTTGCCATAACGTGTGGCCGTTAAAAATAGCATTTATGATACAGCACAGGGCTGATAGTCTTTAATAAAAAAGGAATGGGTGTCATACCCTAAAGAATTATGGCAATCAATAAAATTTGATAATCGAAAAGACTTCCAGGGGAAACGCCAAGTTGATACCTTTGAAGTACGACACTCGGGCAAATCTGTTCAGAACTTGCGCGTCGCTGTTGGCCTCATATTGCAGAGGTTGGGCAGAAGCCAAAGAGTCGGTCTCAAGCATGGGCTGCAGCACTCGCACTATATACTGTTTATCCAACTCCCAGTCTGGATAGTCCTAAAAACAGCGCTTAGTTGGGCGGGGGTTGGTTGATTAGCACGCCACTTACTTCATGTGTGGTGAAATATTGGAAGTAGTTGGCAAAACCCTCGTTCAAAAAGGTCTCGGACCACCACTGCATGGTAACCAAATTGCCCCACCACTGGTGAGCGTATTCGTGGGAAATGATCGTTGCAATTTGCTGCAGGTCCGCGTTGGTCGATTCCACACTGTCGTAGAGCAGGAATTGTTCCCTAGGATTTCGAGATTAGAACTGAACTAATTTAGAGTACTGCCCTGTACCTGTAGGTTACTAAACCCCAGTTCTCCATAGCGCCTGCAGCGAAATCTGGAATGGCCACCTGGTCCATTTTTGGAAAGCCCATGGCACTGTACCTGGAGGAAGCAAAGCAATTTGCGAATTCAATTTGAGAGTAACCGTAATCAGTGGGGTTTACTTACGTGTAATTGGTGTAGACGTTCAGGGTCCTCAGCAGCGATACTCCCGATGTTAGGGCGAAGCTCCGGATGTTTGCGGTTTGAGCTCTGGAGCAGACTCTGTAGGGGACAGCAGTGAGTTCGATATTTTCCCCATAGGTGCAGGTGAAGTCGGAGACGATGAAGGCCACTAGGTAGGTGGGCATAACGCTGGTGACCGGGAAATGGGCGGTTTCCAGATTCCTGGAACAAGTTCGCAGCTGTTCAACACTGCTGTAATCTGGATACCCTTGTAAATCGTTTTGGGAAAACGCGGTTTAGAAAAGGAGGATGAAAAAAACTACTCCTCACTCTAAAGAAGTAGAGAGCAGGACTGAGGAAGACTTTATAGAGGGTGGTGTAGATTCCTGAACCGATGGGAACTCTGGGAACGATGGGCGATCGTGGGATTTAACTTTTTGGAAAAACTGGCATTGCCCTGAATTATTGTCTTAAATTAACTGCTACCAGCGCCGAGAAAAGCGCACTGTAAACCGCAACATGAGAAATTTGATGGAAAATACTTACGGATCATCACCAATCACATCGCTCGTATCGTGTTCCTGTTCGGGCATATTAGACAAGGCGTTCAGCCCTCTGGGGAAAGTGATGTATATTTCAAAAGTGGCCTTAAAGGCCGGCTCGTCAAAGCAAGGAAAGGCCCTCCGAGCAAAAGTTGGCTGGAACTGTGTTGTGGCCAAATACCTAGTGACGGTTCCTTGAGTGTAGGAACTCTTGTAGAACCCGTACATATCTTGCGCGCTCAATCTACAGAACAAACATCAATCACCACCAGCCAAAGAAATCGCCGGGCACAACTACCTGCTGGTGAAATACAAATGCAGCAAGGCGGTAGATCCAGCACCCAAAGTGACACCAAAGCTGCCCAAAGTAACGATATTGGTGGTGTTATCCACCGTGATGCTGTTGATGTCGTTATTGCCGATGAAGGCCGAGGTGATGTTGATGAAGTCATGGGCGGCATGAAGCTGAATTTCAGTCACACTCTCCAAAGCTTGAACAGTTATAATAACGTAGCCTTCGTAGGCGTCGGAGTCTGCAGTGAATGCATCTTCGGAAAGGTTCAAGTGCAACCTATAAGCCGATGGGATGACTGTAGTTGGTAGTCTGTAGGCTGTCGTCAGAGTGGCTAATACCGCAACTATGGCTATCGACAGTAGCCAAAAGAACTGCAAACAAATATGTGTATTCTTAAAAAAGTTATCTCAGAAAGGTTGCAGGTGCTGAACAGAGCAGCGACACTTTTGTTTTTAAGTCGGCAGGTTTTGAATCATATTCCTGTTGGGAGGTTATCGCCAGGACTTCGACTGTTGGTTCTCATGTAGCTGAGCTTCCAACGAATTGAATCGAAAAATGCGAGAAAATAATAATATGAAGAAGTTACTCTACAGTGGCGATTTGAGTCTGGACCTAAGAACTCGGATTCTCAAATGTTATCTTTCCTCGGTCCTTCTGGTTTAGAAGCATGCACCCTGAAAATGTATTGCAAACGGAAACTAAACGCTTTTGAGATGTGGACCATGGACAGAACATGTGCAGACGTAGAAGTCCTAAGAAGAAAGAAGGAAGGTACAGAGCTCCTACATAAGGTGAAGAAGAAAAGTTTGAAATATCTCACACACAGCATGAGAGGTTTATGGTATGACATCCTGCAACTCATGAGTAAGTAAGAAGAGCTATGAAAAGAATTAATCGAATTATACCTTCCTAGAATCGCTTTGATGCATCAAAATGATATAAATATTTTGAAAACAAGTTGCTGATGAAAAATGCTTGTTTTATTCAACTTTTGCTCAACTCTCAACAGTTGGTTGGTTTTGCTTTCTCCAGACCTTCCTAGACATTTGGAGGAAGAAACAGTGCCGATGCTTCCTTTATACGCTGATTCAAGCGTCATCTTGTCCATATTATAGTTAAAAGTTCATTTAATGTTACCGTCCAGGCCACTAGAAATTTGCATAGGTAATCCATTAGGGAAGAAGCCTAACAAACTAGATAAATCCCCAAAGGAACAAATTTAAGGATAACTCAATACACGCCTTAGAAAGCCTGATTAAGTCACCCGGTTAAATGCTACTAATGCCCAGCTAACGTACAAAACATGATGGATATACTTTTTCTCGGCTCAAGGATCATCTTTTGTCTTTGAAATGCCTATTAGTTTTCAATAAATTACTTCAATAAATGTCTCCGGTGTGCGATTAGAATTATTAATTGTAAAATCGATTTACCGTCGATTATCTATGAGATTAGGTTACCTTAATATTTTTATAGCCACTGATGGGATCATCTAGGTGATGGTGATTATTATCCCGAGCAGAATTTACTTAAAAGATCACGATTGAACCTTCTTATTGGCTTATAATATCTACGAAGGTGTTCAAAAAAAACGTTTTGCCAGATAAAAAACGACATTAAACTATTAGATATACACAAAAGAAGCGTTGGAGCTCAAAAGTTGATGGTCTGTGGAAGACACTCTGTATCCAAATTTAAAATGAAGCGGAAATTTAACTTTTGAAGTTCAAGCTGAAGCAGACAAATGAGTTTTCAAGATTTTAAAAACCAAAATTGCAGTTAAAACACTCTATATATTTAACAGACATTTAGTTTAATTTTTAACACATTTTTGTATAATAATTATATCAATTTTTGATTCCGGTTGAAAAGCTGAATTTATGCCTTTAACCATTTTTTTGTTTGTAGCTTTTAAGTTTTCCCCATATGGATGGGTGAAAACTGTTTTCGACCATATAATTTTTTTATGATTTAACCTATCAAAATCCTTGTTAGTTTGCGAGATGAATGAATCTAGCAGGTTTATTGAAGAAGAATCGGCGCAAATCCCATCACATTTTCTCGGGGCATTAGAACAAACTTATCCAAATAAGAAATCCGTTTTGAAATTGGAGTCTGAACTCCAAACGTTTATGAATAGCATGTTTAAAAAGGCACTAGAACTGGATAACAATGGGTTTAAAAACGAAACTCGATATTTTCCCAACTTCGATACTTTCGGGCACAATTTTCCTCTGAACTTCTTCTGGAACATTCAGAAAACCCACTGTATGATCGGAACTACGACACTTTTATTCTATTCTGTGGGCGCTCAATGGGCAAAATATCATGTTCACGAGTTCTTACCTTCATGATCACTTTAAGTAAAGAACCACAAGTACTGAGGAGACCAGTCGAAGAATCGATGATTTTTATAAACTCACTATCTTATCAGCCGTGGAAAGATCTTCCTGTTTCTTCTAAATTATTGCCAGCTCGCGGATCAATTAAACAAGCTTTTGATCCTGTGTAATAATTGTAATTAATTGGTTTTAATAATAATCATAATCCCGTCCATTGGTATCATTAATGAATTGCAATAATTGAGCCAGATAGATGTTCATGGTTATAAGCGGCTGGAGACTTCAGCAGATATAGTATCTAGGTAATTCCAGGATTAACTTTAAGTGTTAAAAAAACGGTTTTAAGCACAAAAGTAATGAAGGTATGCACTTTTGTCAGTACGTCCACAAGTAAGTAGCAGAAATTCGTAACGTAAAGAAATATCGTTCATATTTATTGAAATCGCGACATTTTTAGAGAAATTAACACCAACAAGAAAACATTATTCCGTGGAACATGAAAAACATGATAAAAATATGGATGCATTTCATTGCAAAACAGCATGATAAATTCAAGAAAAATATTGTCGGTTTTCGAATATCAAAACTTGAACTTGATTTAAAAAAAATGTGTTATGCGTTCAAGAAGTCGCATTTAAAGATGAAATAATTCAGAATATATTGATGTTTTGCTGCAGTTAGGTATACTTTCATGTTAAAATGCAACTAGGTCTAATTTTGTTCGTATTTTCCAAAGGTTTTTTCAGCACACTAAACATTTTACAGAAAAGCACTTTTGTTGTAAATTTTAGTTGGTAAAAATCAGAATTTAGGGCGAGAGGAAAGCAATTTTTGGGGGTTATAGATTAATTTGCTGGTTATTGAACACAACTATCCAGTGGCTACTTGTTCTAGAGTGAAAGTTAATATTACTACACGAGACAATGAGACGTATTGACTGAAACAAAGCCAAGAGAGCTAAGATAAGAGATCACTAACCATCCTCAAAAAATTGAAAGTGTTGTGAAACACTGTGGGATTATTGAACGGTTTCAGGAAAGCATCAAAACCATCGGATCTAAAATAAATCCCTCAATTTATTTAACAGAATTTATGTGCGTTTTTATCCAGTACGACTTAGCTCTAATGCTGGAATTACCTAAACTAATGAAAATTTTCATCCAGAAAAAATCCAGATTTTTTGGCCAACTGGAACAAATGATTAACGATCGAAACCATTCCAAGCCAACTTTATCTCATTGAAAGAAAGTGTCTAGGTCAGATGGTATATATCGAACATGCCAGATATTATTCAGGCTACGTTCAGAACTATTTAATAAACAATTAAATTTTGCAGATAGATTTGCTGTTTTTCATAGAGCTCGATTATCCGATACATAAAACATTCCGTGTTTGCGCTCCATGACTAAGTCGCTGAGATGAATTATTAGACTTGGAAATGCTGGGCAATAAATCGATCATTGATGTATTGTTGTTTTTGATCTTGATACTTGACGGGCCATAATCCATCGATAATGCCCGTTTCATATTCTGACTCATTTAATTCAATGTATAGATTCACATAGTTTACCGAGGTGTCTTTTTGAAATCTATTTTCTTTGTTGGACTTAAACCCACATTAGAGCTAGCAGGATTTCTACAACTAAGGCCTTAAGGTTCGATGAACAAGTTGGGAAGGATCCGAAATGCTCCCCCACAGCAGGACGATTTTGTGTTTTTCCTGCATAATGAAGAACAGAAATGGAGTAGTTACTTGCAGATTGACCAGCGGGACAGGATTTTCAGCAGTTTCCTCTTGCCTCATTTTTTCCTGTGCATCTTTGCTGCTAATAGATATTTGGAGCTGCTGAACTGCGTGAGTCAGTTTCAGGTCGTGTGCAACTCTGTTTAAGTTAAAAGGCCCTTCAAGATTTGCGCTTCGGCTCCGCAGTCCCTTAAGAACGTCCAACTCCTCGGTGCAATTAAAAATGTTCGGAAGCCTTATTTTAAGGTCTAGGAAGTTGTATTTGTGCTCCTCCTGTATGGCTTTAAACGTTTGGAAGTCTTCAATCGACTCCGAGAAATGGTGGATGTTATAAATATCGTTTCTTGGAAGCAAGATGTACATATGAAGGGCCTGGCCTTGTAGAGGAATGACGGTCAAAGTAAAGTCCGGAGTGTTCATGAAGAGGGTGTTTCTGATGAGGCCCTAGAAGTAATTTGAGTTGTTTTTAAAATTTCTGGGCATTTTTCTGCTTACCTGCATGTACTTGACTCTGCTCCTTTCATGGCGACTGACTCGAAACACGTCCTCTGTTTCTTCCTCAGTGAAATGCGCGTTGAACTTTGTTTCTATCTGGAACCTACTCAACTGCAGAGCCTGGTTTTGAAGATTTTCGATCAGCAGGTTAGTCCTTGTTCCAAAGTTTCTCCACTCCAACAGAGCGCTTGAAGTGGAAAAATGTTCATTGGCTTTGGAGCCTAATTTTGCCAAATTGCACCACCTACCTGGTGTTATCAGAAGTGATTAGGAGGGTTTTATAAAAGTCGGCTGCGTTGCTCTTCCAGTACGCCGATAAATCGAAGTTTCTTTGGTACACCAGCGCATTCCGAATGGAGACTTGGTAATGAGGGTTCGGCCTGGAAAGTTGACTGGAACGTTTGCGAACTCTCCAATGAAACACTGGGTGGTACACTTTTTCGTTATACTATAAATAAATAGTCATAACTTGAATTATTGTTTAAGCAAATATATTTATTAAAATAAGGTTTACATAATGACAGTCAGATTTTTCCCTTCAGATGTGATCGATCCCAAAAAACTCTCCAGTTTCATGGTTTTAAAACATTTAATCGAATTTGCAAATAATACGCATTCAATCGCCCCTCGTAATGTAAGTGATCCATTCACGGTAATCGAATTATATGTTGCCATAAAACTAACATTTAAGATCGCCCCTCGTAACGTAACTAATCCGTTCACGCGCGGTTCAGGCGCATCAACTCGACTCGCCCGTATGCTCAGGAGTGAGAGCGATGTAGCAGTCGCGAAGGAAACCACCCGGTCTTTGTCTCTCCTGACCAAAATACGAGTGCTTATCGAAAAAGATGGTCAGTTGAAAATCGTTTTATCTTGAAACATTCGGCTTACCAAATGGTCGCTGGTTAGTTCGACAACATTCACTTCTCTTTTGGCAACTTTTGGTTTTGGTGAGAGTCCGAGCAGATTTTCCAGATGTTGGCTGGCATTCCCTCGATTTCCCAACAGAAACTGGCCCAGAAGATTAATCGCGCATATGGGCGAAATCAGGTAGTTTTCGATCACTTGGTTATTGTCAGTGCCCAATAAAGCCTACACACATGAAATAAAAAAGTGGGGAATTTTGGGGAAAACTTGATTAGGAATGAAAATCTTGACTTTCCCTTGCCAAATCTACGTACCTGAAGCTTTCCAGAAATCTGAAAAATTGCCTTCTCCACTTCAACGGGTTTGACCACAGGTTCCAGGGAAGGAGGAGCTGGAGTGCTTGCTTCCTGCCTCGAATGCAGCAGATGAAAAGGATCCACCAAATCGATCATATTGCGGAAAAATTGACATTTTCCAGACCCAAACCCGCATAAAACGATCAATAGAGTATGGGTGAACACTCGCATTTCTCAATTAATAAACGTCCTTATTCAGTTCCAGTGAGATATGAGAATTCATTATGGAAACAATGAGCGAGCGACGCCTTATTAATTTTAAATTACCTGCGTGGGTAAATTTAATGGGAATTATAGAATTGTCTGGAAGTGTTGCACTTAACTGTAAATCGGAATAGGAGCGGAGCACGATTTGCTTGAGTGAATTGCGAAAAGTCGCCAAAGGTTCCCGAAATTGCTTATTTGCCAACATGGACCGTATAAAAAAACCCATAAAACCTGCAAAGTTAATTAATTATTTGTTTTAACTATTTATGCACTTACAGGGCGATGCTTGTAAGTTTAACAAGATTATGGCTAACTGGTGAGTGAAACTTGGAAGTTAGAGTTAGGTCTGGTTGGTCTTGTTGGACTCAATTATTTATATTGAATTGCTAAGTTTCGTAGTAGAGTTTAATGGTGTCAGTTCCTACAAAAAATTGAGCTTGCAACCTACTCAGAAACTTGTGGTTCAAAGTGTTCACAATTTTGCATTTTCAGACAGCTCAGTAATATATGGAGGGTTCCATTTAAAAAAGTTAAGTTAGTAATCAAAATGAAAAATTCGAACTCCTTGCAAATTGGTCCTTTTTTTTTCAAGGAATGAGGTCATGTTCCTATACAAAATTACACCCCAGTACACCCTAATCTTCCACCCCAGCTTCTAGATCTAGACAGATAGTATTTGCACGTTGACATTGTTAAGCGAATTTCTGTCTAAATCTCTATCAAATGTTTGAATATTTGAATGGAATTAGCCGAAGTTGTAACCGCCTGATGTTCTAATGAAGAATTTGAATAAGTTATTAATAATGAGAGTGATTATCTTATGTAAACGGTCCGAAGTGAAAAAAAAGGTGCTGAATGTGAACGTCCGAAAAGCCCAGTACCATATGATCTCACCTGCTTGTGCTTGAAACAAGTGACTGTAGGCGTCAGTCAGCAGCAAGTTGACCCGAAGAAAGCTCTCGCCCAGTCGCTTTCAGTTGTTTCTTCGTTTCTCAGTCGTCTTCGGCTTTTTCGGAACCAGCAGATCGGTCTCCTTCTTCGCTGAGGACATTTCTTCAGTGGGTCAGTGGTTACAGAGACGTGTGTCGCGACGTTCTTGATTGAATGAACGTGTTAGTGACTTGAACAGTTGGTGCCGGTTTTGCATAGCAGTTTCCAATCAGTTTCCCGATTTCTCGTCGAGAATTGGCTGATATTGGGCCCGACGAGAAAAGCGCAAATTCATGTTCGTTAAAGGTAACCTGCCAAGGCGAATATAGCCGGTTATACGTATTTTATTGCCGAAATTTGAATTTTATCGTTTGGAATTTTACACGTCTGGCTAATGATGAGCCGGCCTGGTCCTAAAGACTTGGACTAAAAACTTGAATGGGAATAGCAAGCAGGAGCCAATTTAGCCGTTTAGGTGAATGAACGAAACAGCCACAGTTGGCAATCATAAATCTTCTTAGCAAGTTAGTTAGTTACCTTTGTTCATTTAGCGGTCAACGTACATTCGATTGGTTCTATTATCCATCCTAAAAATACGCATTGGACTGTTAAAGGCCAACCAATTTGAAACTCTTTACAATTGGGCCTCTAGCCTTTCCAGCCACCACCTCTGAGGATGCCGGTGACATGGAGCAGCCAAAAAAGTGTAAAACCTTTTGGAAAGGCTATCTAAAAATAACCTGTATGAACATGTTGAATGGAGCGTGGGAGGGAATTGCACATTATATTGGCAATAGTTTGCCCAACATAATTGTGTTATGCAAAAGGATATCCTTAAGCAAATAGGAGGCCGAGAAGTGGGTGTAACCGTAGTACATCTACCAGTTATTTATTAGTCGTGCTGATAGCGTTCCTAAACAATACATTAACGTAGCCTTTATGGCCTTTGGCTAATGGTTCCATTGTTGAACCACAATGGGTTACTTTCCCTGCGGGTTGTGATTTTTCCCAGCCCAAACGGGAACCTCTTTGGGTCCAAAGCACACTTCGAGTGTATGGATAGGTTGATGGTAATAGTATAATCAGGACATTTTAATATGATTATTTAAATGGTGAAAAATCGGAACCGGTTTGGAGGTTGGGCCGCTCCACCATACAGCGTAAAAGGCACCAACCTACAGATTACAAAAGCGATATTTATGAATTGAAATCGCTTTTATACCAGCGTGCGTTCGATTGGTTTATCCCGAACCTGTTTAGGTACCGGAACTGTGAAATCCGAAAAACGTTACCGTTTCGAGTGGAGTTTAGCGAAACGAGATGGAAATTTGCGCATTTGCTTTCCAACTGGAGTGGTGGATTTTGTGGATGTTAAGCGAGTTTTAATTGGGGGAATTAGCAAAATTTGCCTTTTGTTAGCTTGTGGATTGTTCTGGTGAAATTGCACCGAGTCGTGTTAATGTTGATTTCTTTTTGTAAACACTTCAAGAAATATTTGAAGAAGCTTTCAACACTTGGACTTAGTTTGCGTCAGAGCATTGAATATTTTTTGTTACTTTAAATTTTCATTTAAATCTTGTAAATTTGTCCAAATTTTGAAAATTTCTCAAAAATCAACAAAGACCTCAAGAAGATCGCAGTTTTGTACAATTAAAAAACGAAGACTTGTTCTATTTAAATCCACAATTTCAGTGTTTTAGTGAGTTTGGTTTGCAACTTATGAACTTTTGAAGGGGAAATAAAGATTGGGGTGCTAATAGAAGGTTGACGGAAACTTACGCAATTCACATTTTTCTGAAACTCCTAAATTATTTATTTTTTTACATTAGTTTTAGAAACCGGTATATGCTTGAGTAAAATGCAAAATTTCCTTTCTCTACTGGTTTCAGTTTGCCACTGGCGAATTTATAGCAACTAACGATGATAAATGAGAATGCAACTTCCAATGAAGATTTTGAAAATTTCCTAAAAATTACTGCAATTTTTGCACAACTAATAACTGAAGCTTCCTTTAAATAAATACAAAATTGTGTGTCTTTTAGCTGTTTTGGTTTGTGGCTTTCGCCAAAATGGAGACAGCGGTTTTAAGAAAAATTGGCCGTAAATTACTGTAAATCGATCTTTGGTTAAATTTCGAAATTATATTGATTTCGGTCATGAATACATGAACTGCAATCTGTTTATTAAAACGCAAAATTTGCGTCTTTCGTGCCTTAATATGTTCTTTGTGGATTTATAGCCACGAACGAGCATAGCTGAAAAGGCCTCTTCTAATAGACATTTTGAAAAATTCTCAAAAATCAGCGAATTTTTCAAAATTATTGCATTTTTGCACGACTAACCAATGAACGTTTTTTGATAAATTCCAACATTTCTGTCTTCTATCTGCTTTAGTTGGCGACTTGTGAATTCATGATGCAAAAGTGAAGAAAGCGACTCCAATAGAAATTTGGGGATTGGAGAAATTTTTCTGGTCTCAGATACTTGTCAAATTTATAAATTCTTTTATTTTCAGACTGAAATCAACTGAAATATTTTTTATTAAAATTCAAAACATAATTTCTCTGCGGGTGTTAGTTGGCTGCTAAGAGGATTTAGAACAAACAAGCTTAAATGCGAATGCAACTTCTAACGAACAATAAGAAACATTTTCAGTAGTTAATATACGTTTCAAAATTAATAAATTTTTGCACAACTAGAAAGTGAAATATTCTTTATTAAAATCCAAAATATTTGTATTTTAGCAGTTTTAGTTTGCGATCTGCAAAATATGCAAAATGGAAACAGCGGTTTTAAGAGACTTTCTCAATACATATTTTGCTGAAATTTGGAAGTGATATCAATTAGAGTTGGAGTGATATCAATTTTCCTCATGCGCTTGCTTTAGCTTGTTACTGGTAGATTTGTAACAACAGACGAGCCTAAACGAGAATGCAACTCCTAATAAACATTTCGAAAAATTTCCAAAATGAACATTTCAAAGGTTCTAGAACTTTCCAGAACTTACACGTAAAATCTCCTTTATCAAAATTCAAATTTTGTGCTTTTATTAGTAGTGAACTACTAATAAAGCTTTGAAAACAGTTGAAACCTCTTTTATTAAAATCCAACATTTACCTCATCTTGCAGCTTTGGTTTAGGACTTGTGACTTTATGAAGGAAAAATGTAAATAGCGGCTTTAAATAAAGATTGACCGATTTTGTAAAGATCAAATCTTGGAAAATTTAGCAAGGAAAAAAATTCCAGACATAAATCTTACGAACTGAAAGAGCTCTCAGAAGAGAGAAAGTTCTTCTACAAAATAACTTTTCTTAGTGGTGTTTCTTAGGCAAATGCGCTTTTCGAGCACTTTACTCTAGTTGAAGTTTGCCATTTTCCCGTAGAAAAAAATTGAGAGCATCCGCACTGTAAAAACAGTTTTCAACAAGCAAAAAATTAAAAGTACCAAATTTGACTAAGAACTTTCAAACTGAAAATTTGCAAACATCAGAAAATGTCTAAATTCAAAATGTTCGCTATCCTCAGCTTGAAGCTAAGGCCTTTTTTAAATAATGAAAGCATTAACACTGCAGTTTTGAAACAAAAATTGAAAATTTTTTAAAATCGCAACAGAATGAGCAAAATTGAATTGCAAATTGGGGAAATTCTTCAATTCCCTAAAGCTCCTTAAATTTTAAAGAGTCATCTGAGCAATCAAAATGAAGAATTGCATTCACTGCGTGAGTCTTAATCATGAAATAACTTCGGAAAATCAAAGACAGGGATTTTCGGTAATATGATCGGACACGCCGATTGGTTTTTTAAATTGAGCTCTTTGTGATTTAAAAAGAACTTGTAAAAAGAATGTCCTTCCTTGGAGATTTTGACTATTTTTTAAATGATACTGATAAAAATAGCGCAATTTAAGCGACTAATCGACGTGTGCGAGGATATTTTCCCAAACAAAACCTGTCTTTGCCTCAACAAATTTATTGCAAGTTAAGGACTCGCACTGCAAAAAAATATGATAAATTAAATAGGAAATAGACAACAATGAGAAGACGATCTTGAAGATTCGTGCAAATATTTAGGAATGGCAAAAATCGTTAATCATTCACACCTCCTTCTATCCGTAATCGTGGACGCAAAAAATGAAACTGTTAAGTCTTGATGTGGGCCGCACTGTGCAAAACGACACCGTCATTTTTTCCGGCCAACCAACCGAAATTAAACACGCACAAAGCAGTTTAATAAAAAGAACATTTATGGCTAACAAAGCTTGATGGGATTTTTTTGCCGGGCAGTTTCGTATTGTTGCCATCCCGTCCGAACGGTAATTGCAGATCAATTTCATGCAGTGTTCCACAATTTTCCAAATTCCGCGGTTTTTCCTTCAGCAAAAAATCGACGTCTCATGCATAGTTGATGCCACACACAGTCGCAAGAACCGCTTGTCGAAGTGTGCGGTCCAAATGCGAATATTTATTATTTGTGTAAGTCCAATGCCGATGCGGTCGCCCATTTTCCCACCAAATCCCATAAAATAAAGTTGTCGTCTAAGCGGCCTGTGAAGAAGCGAATGTGCCGCAAGTCGTTATCTTTGACCGGACACCTGCCGTTTTACAAAAATAAAACGCGACTCTTTAATGGTATCTTGGACTACTAAGAAAGTACCCTCAAGAGGGTACAGTTTCCAGGCTCATTTTTATTCGCTGTCCAACCACAACCGAAGAAGTGGCCAACCGAGGACGGTTTTTTCTCAACATTTCCCAAAAAAAGTGGCAACTGATTTTTTCAAAAGAGAGTTTGATAGAAAAAGTGGCTTGAAAAGCGTGCTATTTAGAAAGCAAAGGCATGTGTAGTTTCCAATTGCAAAAATCAACCGATCCATGACTGAAAGACTCTTAAACCGCGCTAGCGATTTGTATGGGCTCAGTTTAATCGACTATCAGATGTTCGATTGTTTGAAAAGGTGTAGTCTTTTAAAGGAAATGATGAACATAATGGGTATAGTACGAGTAATCGAACCTCCTACACTCCATATCCGAGATGTAATCTCCCGTATCTAATCTAGAATCCCATCAGAGAAACAAATTTTTTCCACAATATTCTCGGGGATACACCATCAGATAAAAGACAACAAGTCGTGACCTAACTGTAAATCGCAAATGCGGCTGTGGAGTTTTTAGGTTCATCGCTTAAGACCATTTCGCAAACAGCCAATAGATAATCACGACAATGTCACTAACCCAACCCCAATCGCCACATGATACAGTTCATCGCATGCTTATTAACAGTGCAAAACATGACTGAACTGACCGAATTCGAACACGAATTTTCGTTTCGAGCTTCTTTCAATGGCAACAGTACAAGAATCTCGTGAATTTCCCCGTTTAATTGAGCAATAAATCGGCGGTTTCTTGCTGTTGCAGAGACCAATTTCAGTTAAGAACACGTACATTTGTATCATTTCTTATTGGTGAAGTTCGAATGATAATCTTCACCGAAATGCAGGAAATTATTTTTCAATCTATTGTTCAAGCTGTTAGTTAAAACAGTTTAATTTGATAGAAGCAAGCACTAGCGCCAGTTTCACGCAAAACCTTTTGTCTTCGGACTTCTAAGCAAACTGCCATCTTAAGTTCCATTAATAATTTGAAAAATAACTTTTTTGCTCGACAACATCTGAACGAACTGAAGAAAGGTTTGCGCGAGACACTTTAATGGTTTTTCCTGTCTGGTGTTAGTGCTTGTTTCTCTCAAAGCCAAACGTGGAAGTTGAAGCCATAATCTTTGCCGAGATGAGTTTTAAGCAAGTTCAGACATTTGTTTTTTAACTTTTAAAAACTATAATTCAAACTGTTATTTAATTGTTACAGTTGTTGAATTCAATTCAAACACTTTTTTGTCTTCTTCACCCTTGCACAAACTGCTTTCTAAATTTCGAAACCAAATACACGCGCAATCTTTCAATAGGTTTTATGCCTCGTGCTTATGCTTGTTGCAAGCAATATTTTGAACAAAAGTTGGTTGAGTTTCATTATTTATTGTGTTTTTCACTAGGCAAAATTTGAAGAACTTCTTTCAAAAGTTTGAGATTATAAAAAATGTGCCCGAGGTCGTGCCTGTTTCTACCAAACTCGATTAATATCCCAAGCAATAGTTTGGAAAAATACCTACATCTCCACCGTCTTATCGACTTTTTCACTGGGAAACTTTTGAAGAAATTTCCTGACCATCAGTTAAGAAATGTTTCTAGATTTCACGCGTGTGAAAATTCTAAGGTAATGCGGATATTGAAAAACGCTGTTAGCCTTTGGCTCATATTTAGAGAACCGAATGACCTGCAAAGCCCTAGTTATCATTTCAAGATAGAGCTTCAAATTGCACGCTTTTTGCACAAAACGCTATTTAAGGAATATTTCTAGTTTGCACGTCAAATGCAAAAAAAACTAAGTTTATGCGCGCCCGCTCTTGGTTTTCTGCTCATATTTAGAAAGCCAATTGAGCCGCAAAGCTCTAGTGATCATTAAGCTATGCAGCTTTAAATTGCACACTTTCGTAGAAACAGTGTTTCTGGTTTTCAGGGAAAATACGAAAATTCTAAGTTAAGGCGATTCTTGAGAAGTACTCTTAGTTATTGCTTGATAATTAGAGAAACGGTTGAGCTACGAAGCTCTGGTTGACTTTGGGTAATAGAGCATTACATTTCGTACCTTGAAATCAAAGATTCTTCTAGAAATTTTGTCAGTTTTGACTGAAAATTGAAAAATTCGAAACTAATGCAGGTTGCTCTTAACTGAGAACACGCACCTCACCACTCACCCATTCATACATTATCTGAAAGGAAAACTCAATTTTTAAGCCGCTGTATATTTCTATTAAAACCCCATGAAACGCCGGCTACTAAATAAATTAACCGTCATTTACTGCTGTTAAGTAATGGAATTACTTTTGCAAAATATGATTGATTGTAGTCATTATTCCAAAGTCTCAAGTCATTCAATCCAATGTAGCTTTTTGCGGTAGTAAATAGTTAATTACTCTCACTCACTCTCAGTCCATTTGGAGTGTCCTTAAGCTAACGGACCGAATTTTTAACCACTTCAGAGTCGAGAAATTTCCACCATACCAGATAAAAAGCTGTTTAATGCGCCGGATAAATGGGCGATGATGGCTTTGTCTTTGGGTGAAAAGTGCACGTTGCACAAAACTGGCCTCCGGTCCAACGTATTGATATCTCGACGACAAAGAAACAGAAATTTCATCAGACCCACTTCCCATGACTCATTGCAAACAATAGATTATCTAAATGGTTGTAGGCCTCCACCATGTAATTTCGAATGGAAAAGTTATCTGGCCATTAGAGGCTGCCAAAGTAACGTTAGTCAGTAAAACAGATAGTTTTCAACTTATTTTTTCGGTTATCGTTATTACCGTTACTCATCTCAATTTCTGTGTGTGTGTCACTTGATTTATCAGGAAAAATATTTTTTATATTATAAAGCAGTTATTTTGGGGAATAGTTAAGTTCCTCAGCTTATCAGCTCAAATCTTGGAAGGTTTGATCAATTTCCCAATTTTTATTCTACTGTATAGGGAAACTCTCAATTGAACTAAGGAAAAAGACCTTCTAAGAAGCCTAAATGGTTCAGCAATTGCGTGAAAAAGAAACTACATTCACCGCAACGAAAAATTTTGGAAGCAGATTTTACCTTCTCACATCAACATCGCAAAGTTTTCCCAGTGGCAAAATTTGGCGACCATGCAAAGTTTTGAGTAGGAATAAGCAGTACCCAGCATGAGAACCAGGCTAAATCTACCTTGAATAAAGTGGGCGATTACGTAGCCCTATTATAATAATATGCATAAATGTAGCTTTACTATACTGAGCGTTTTTATGGGTCGGCCGGCCTCTTATTTCGCACGGAACTCGCAGCCCTCGGCCAAAACAGCTCCTAAATGAAATGGTTCTCGTTCAAAACAATCATAATTGTAGGCGGTCACGTTTAATTTTCTGGTGCCTCGACTCGGGTCCATTCCATGCATAATTTGTGGTTGAGGTTCAAAACCCAATGGAAGCCGGTAAAACCTCTTAATTGGTTCATTTGATCCTCAAGAAGTATTACTGATTTCAGTGCAGGAATCACCGACATAAAATAATTTATTATCGGGAAGATTTAAACATTTTTATCTTGGAAAAATCGGGCAAACCCTTCAGGAAGTTTGGAACTTTGCTGCGCCACTAAAAGCCACTTAAGCTTTTGTAAGTTTTGTGGTAAAAAATCTACCGATGCGCGGTTAGTACATTTTTGTTGATGTTAATTGATTGGTTGGTTAAACTCCAGCCACAAAATAGTTTAGTATAACTGTTAAACCCGTGAGAAAATCCCCAAAATAGTAAATTCTAAAACCTGTTTGAATTTGCCATTTTGAATGCCCAGAGAAACAAGAGTTTTTTTTTATATGTTTGTCTACTTTGTTGGATTGAAAGTACAGCTTTCCAGATGAAAATGCCCGGTTTTGCATCACCCTGAATATTAAGCATAAAATCGACTTCAACTGTCGACTTTCCACTGCAAAATGTGAATATTTGCCTGACTTTGAAGTCGAAGATCTTGTGGGAGTTAAAAATTTGAATTTTAAATATAAATTTGTTTCTGCGCTTTAAATTGCTGTTTGCATCTCCAAGTTTTCAACACTAATCCAAATTTCAAGTCGCTTATATAAAATGTTAAATTTCAGTCTTAATCTTGAAATTTATACTCACAAAACCCAGACTAAATCACAGTTTTTACTTAACTTCAAACGTGAGCCGAATTTTACCTGTTTCAGTCTACTTTCACACATTTTTCCATTTCATTTCTAGACACTTCAATAATTTTTCATTGTCATTTTATTATTTGTCATACTTAAAATTTTGTGCCTACACTTGCCTGGAAGACACTTTTTTGAAGATTACAATTTTGAAAATACATAGAGGTTGGCACTGTTTCAAATGCACAAAATTTCGAATTAAAACAGGAAAACACAAGGAACTGGGGAAATTGCGCCTCCATTTAGGTTCAATCTGAAGTTCAACGCTGGATCTTTAACTCCAACTTTCGGCATTAAACTAAAAAACTTGTCGAAAACAGAAATTTTTCGCTTAAAAACCTTCTTTTGACCTAGAAGTTGAAACTTTAAAGTTGCCTCGCTGGATTAGTTTGTCATTGGCGACTTTAAATTGGATTTTAAAATTTTATTCTTTGAGAAATTAATTCTGAAAGTTTATAACTCTAACTGTACACATCAAAAATTGAATTGATAGTGAAAAATTGATGAAATTGAAAATTTCGATATTGACTTTTCAACTTGAAATATTGACAAATTTCCATTATTTCTTTGAGTACTTTTGCTGTTTGATTCTTTTTTTACGTCAACCTTAAGCTTTAAATCTGTACGTGCATGTTGATTTTTGACATAAAGATTTTTCGCATTTTTCCAGCTTTTGAACTCAAGAGCGGTGTTGGCACACACTCATTTAAAATTGTCCCCAATTTTGTTGTTGCTGGAAATACGTCCGGACAGTCTGCCCCAAAGTGGACATTAATTAAAAACAAAGGCCCATAAATGCTTTAAGAACATGCAGACCCTGTAGAAAAGACCGGAATGTGCAACGTCAAGCAAAACTCTTTTCAAGCAAGACCCATTTCCAGCACGTTTCGGACGAATTAATAATCAACCAGATGACCAAATGCCCATAGGAGCGCAATTCTACATACATATGTATTGAATATAAACGGCTTATATAGCTGTTTATAATTTTTATAGCTGAAACCGCTAGTCATTTGGTCAGATACGACTTGCAAACGTATCCGCGCATCGTTTTGCCACTTATAACTGTACATTTTTAATATTTGCATGGTTTTCGTTTCAGTTATGTTTAGCTAAATGTTTCGCTTTCCTTAATGGTTCATGGAACGGGTGCGCCTCTTTATTATGAAATACCGCCGCCGACTTTGTCGCTTTCGAAAACAATAGACAAGTTTGCAATTGTTTGGTTGTTGCAGTTTGCATCAACGATGCCAGAACCATGACATCCTGCACCACAGACAGTGGCACGGAAACATTGTTCTCAGATGAGTCGCCATGCGACTTGATCCGATCACCCAGTATATGTTCGGAAGAGGAGGCAGCTCGAAGCCGAAATGGGGAACACGAGGACGTCTTATCAATCAACAGCAAACTGGGACCGCCGAATATTCAACCATATAGCGGTGTTCTTGAAAAGGTGAGCAAACCTACCTTCGCAATACAAACACAGTTGTGTTAACGCAGCAAAGAATCGTATCTTAAACTAAGAGATCACGTTTAAGGGGGATATTTGACGTGGAAGCATTAAGTTTGCCATAATGCAAGGCCTGGAGAAATCTGCATTGGAAGTAGGCAAAGGTGTTATCTGACTAATGTAAATTTGGCTGCTGGCTGTAATTTAATGAAATTGGCTGACTAAAATGGAAAAAACAGCCTTCTACCAGTGGAAAAGACGTCATTAGGCTAAGGAATTAAAAACAAATTCTTCTGGTCTTTCATTGTTAAAATTTCGTGTCAGAACTAAGCGATCAAGGGCGGATCAAGGGGGTCATGGTCCCCATG